AAACTTATCCTATTACCAAAGTTGTTTTTCAGAGTTATACTATAGAGCTCTCTCTTCTCTCATAGTGAAGCATGTCAACAAAGCCAAGAGTCACAGAAGGGGGATTAAGACTACCCATATAAGTCAATAAACGTTCTCCACTAGAGCCAAGTGTATTTTTGGCTCTTCTTTTGTGAGTGAGTTTTAACATATTTCATATTATATAATATTAATTTTTTCTACACTATTGTTTTTCTATTATATTATTTTTCCTAGAAATTTTTAAGAACACCTAATACTGAAGTAGATAAGTATATATTTATAAAAAAAGAGCTTTTTGTATGCTTTACCATAATTATATATATATATATAGGTCTGTCGGGAAAGTATCCAGCCATTGTTAATTTAATGATTTGAGTGACATTGCTGTAACCTAACAGGGAGAGTGGACTAGTATTTGCACGCATGAACAATTACGACTTTACTATTCTAGACGTCGTTGAGTGAGCATGTGTACTGTGTGGTTATCGCATTTAAAATGACTAAGCAAGTAGAGCAACGAATCAGCATCAAATTTTGCATTAGTCTTGAACATTCCTCCGCAGAAACTATTTGGATGATTCAGAAGGCTTTGGGGGACAATGCAATGAGTGCAGTGCAAATAAAATCACCCACATTATTCAGCCCCCCGAGAGCCCAGATTTGGCACCCTCTGACTTCTTGCTTTTCCCAAAACTAAAATCACCTTGGAAAGGAAAGAGATTTAAAAACATTGGTGAGATTCAGGTAAATACAACTAGGCAGCGGAAGGCGATTCCAACAAACGATTTTGAAGAGTGTTTTGATCAGTGGAAGAGACACTGGGAGAGCTATGTGAGGTCACAAGGTGCCTACTTCGAAGGGGTCTGAGGTGCCATTGTCCTATGAATAATGTTTCTTGTATCTTAATTGTATCTTAAATGTCCCTATTTTTCATATTACATGGCTGCATACTTTCCAGACAGACCTTGTATATATGTATATATATGTACATATTCTTCACTTTTATTATTATTATTTTAAATTAAATATCAACATAAATTTCTAGATAATACTTGTTGAAACAGAAGTGTTGTAAATAGTGGCAAAAAGCCACAAACTTAATTAAAATGCAAATGGCACTGTTGAATGCCAGGAACATTTGGTTTGTTGTTCGAAAACTGAACTAGGGAATTAAACTTCTTTTGTATGAGAACAACCACCACTAAATCTAATAGGGGTGCTTTGTGTATAATTAGTGATCAATCAGGCATATTTCCAGATTCATTAACTTTGTAAAATTAGTGTGAGTTTTTCTGTATTTCTAACTCTTTAGATTATCCTGATATTTGTTTTTATCATCACCACCCATGCTGTTGCTAGATTAGTCATTGTAAAGATAAAAATGGCTTACCGTTAATTAGTAACAGGCATTTTATGGTCAAAACAGTTAATCGCCTAATAAAATTTTCAATACAGGACAGTTCAAAAAATGGATAGACAGTCATGATTCTTAAGTTAGATGTGATTGTGGAACTTTTAGCATGCCTCTAGCATTTCTACACACTCTAGAATATGATGTGTGGGATTGACACTACTTAAAGTGGTTCTGTCCCTTTTCAGTATTTCAAAAAGACAGAATCTTTATCAAATACTGATTAAGGCATGTTAGAAAATTTCACAGAAATTCCCACCTAATCCAATGATATCACAAGAAAAAGTCCCTGCTTTGTCACATGTTAACACCTCAGGTTGACATAAGTTGACAACAGGAGGAGCTCCTTTGTCAACTTTAGTTCAACACAGCAGCTGTCACAAGAACCCACACCTGATCTGTCCATTTTGATTTTTTATGTGAAATATGCAGACATTGACAGACACTTTAAATCAAATGTATCAATACTGTGGCTGTGTGGCAGAATGTATAGTTCTTAACATGGCATCACAAACATACAGTTTTATAGATTGCAGTTTATAGTTCTACAAAGCTCAAATAATTGCATTGGTCTAGAGATAAAATGAACTAATGTATTTTACAGATAGCAAGAACAAACAGAGATATAAGGATGCGCCTAAAACTTGATAAAATAAAAGACTAAATTAGTGAGCCGTATGCGTAAAATCAATAAAAGAAAATGTATGTAAAATCAGGTAAAGGAGAAAGCAAATGGCAATAAAGTATTTTATGCCAGTAAAATATCTTTATTATAAAATTAAGAACAAAATCTATCAATATCTAAACGCGTTTCGCCTTAACAGGCTTCTTCAAGTAGATAGTGGGAAAGAGTAGATAGTGGGTTAGATATTAATAGATTTTGTTCTTAATTTTATAATAAAGATATTTTATTGGCATAAAATACTTTATTGCCATTTGCTTTCTCCTTTACCTGATTTTACATACATTTTCTTTTATTGATTTTACGCATACGGCTCACCCTGCAGGAAGTGCAAAGAATCCATAGGTGGGGATTATACCACCCGAGCGCCTTCACTGAGCAGTTTTGAGTCTGCTCTACTTTACGTGAGTAGTATACTTTACTTTCTTTTAATTTTGGATTACATACAGTGAGCACTATATATTTTATTTCATTTTTTCCTCTGGTTCATATTACGTCAAATTGAACGCTGAACCCACGTCAGATATTCAACTATCAAAATTTACTCCATATATCATTGAAGTGGGGATTATTCCACTTTACGCAAGCAATATCAGAGCTGATCCAGGTGCTCCTGCAATTGGGTTCCGTCACCGCTGCAAAACCCCAGGTGGGTGTGACAGTCCAACAACATTAAAATTCCCATAGGAAAGCATTTAGTCAATGCTTTTCAAAGGAGGAAGGCCTAATGTCAACCAAGCATTTGCCTTGCAGGCACATTAGGTCCCCATATCGGCTGACTTCGGAGGAAGAGCGTGACACAGCACCGAGGGACACTTTGGCATTAGGAATACATCTTTGCATTCTTAACACAAAAGTGTTTCTTTAATTATGTGAAGAAAATAATATAAAGGTGTTTTTGGAATTGTACCTATGTTATAGACAATCAATTAAAATCCCCCAAACATAAATAGTGCAAGAAATTTACAGACTAGGATTTTCTGGTGTTCATCACTTACATCTGTACACATCAACAAATCTGTTTCACGCCTCATTGTCTATTTAAATGTGAATGGTTCCAGTTCAAACATTTCAAGAAAGGTTGAAAAATAGACAGAAATATCTATCTATCCATCTATCTATCTATCTATCTATCTATCTGTCTATCCATATATTTTACCATTTACTAAAAATAGAGGAAAGGTTAAAGGATCTTAACATGTATAGTTTGGAGGAAAGACGAGACAGGGGGAATATGATAGAAACATTTAAATACATAAAGGGAATCAACACAGTAAAGGGGGAGACTATATTTAAAAAAAAAAAAAACAACTATCACAACAAGAGGACATAGTTTTAAATTAGAGGGGCAAAGATTTAAAAATAATATCAGGAAGTATTACTTTACTGAAAGGGTAGTGGATGCATGGAATTGCCTTCCAGCTGAAGTGGTAGAGGTTAAGACAGTGAAGGAGTTTAAGCATGCGTTGGATAGGTTTAAAAATAATATCAGGAAGTATTACTTTACTGAGTGGCTGGATGCATGGAATTGCCTTCCAGCTGAAGTGGTAGAGGTTAACACAGTGACGGAGTTTAAGCATACATGGGATAGGCATAAGGCTATCCTAGCTATAAGATAATGCCAGGGACTAATAAAAGTATTCAGAAAATTGCGCAGACTAGATGGGCCAAACGGTTCTTATCTGCAGTCACATTCTTCTTTTTTTTTTTTTTATATTTATAATTCTTTATTGTCAAATTGCATGTAATTACAAGAGACATTTTTGGTTGTAACAGTTGTACAAGCATAAGCATCAGGTATAAGATGAAGGTGTAAACAGTAATATTTGTCCGGACCTTAACAATTTACTGCGACCCAGATAGTGGTTGGAAATTGTCTTCTGGGCTCAGTGTCTACTATGTAACCGGTATTTTTTAAATAGAGCTATAGGTGTAGGTACTCCGTGACCTCGGAGCCCTTTTCTTTGAAACCACCAATTGACTTGTCTAAGGACTAGAGGTGATGTGAAGCCTGGGGGTCTAAATGAAAAAGGGAGGGGGAGGAGGAAGAGAAGGGGGGAATCTTATGGCTGACTGAGCCTGGGTTGCAGTTTGCAATGCAGGTGACACTATACTTTCATTGTACAGGAGCTGTGTTGAAGGGGTAGGGCAAGTTAAATTTCCTGGGTATCGTGTTTTGGGGCATTGTCATTTGCCTCAGCTTGGCTGATTTTCAAGAATTTGCACCAGGGTTCCCAGGTGGACGTGTATGTCTGGAAGTTTTTGTAGAGGGAATTATGTACCTTCTCCATTATCCTAATGTTCTTGACCCTCTGGATCCAGTCCCTTATGGACAGGGAGTTAGCTTTTTTTCCAGTGGATTATGAGTAGTTGAATTGCTGACGTTAGCATATGTTTGATTAGGGAATTTGTGTCTTTCATTTGGTTAGCTTGTAGTAGATGAAAGAGAAAGATGTCTGGTGTTAGTGGTATATGCACTGCTGGAATGGTGTGGATAAGTCTGAAAATTCTAGACCAGAATTTTTGAATTTCCAGGCATGTCCACCAGATATGTGCTGGGTCTCCGTTAGGTTGGTGGCATCTCCAACATTGGCTTTGAGAAGTTGGAAACAGTTTCTTAAGTTTGGATGGGGTGTAATGCCATCTCACAATCCTCTTGTAATTGCTCTCTGGTGTGGCCAGGTTAACTGAGGATTCGTGTACCAGTAAAAAGATCTGTCTCCAATCCTTGTCCGCTAAGGACAAGTTAAGGTCCTTTGCCCAATTTGAAGTTAACAGTGGGGAGTGTTTTGGTTGCGTGTTTTCCAGTACGGAGTACATGGAGGAAACTTGTTTTTAGTGTGTGAGTGGAGCATGTGTGCTCCAATTGTGAGAGGGCACAGTTGCCTTTTCGAGGGTATTGTCCCGTTTGGAGGAAGTGAGTGAGTTGGTTGTATTGGAGTTTTTGTAATTGCGTGTGGGTCCTGTCTGGAAAGCATACATCTAGCGGTTTAATCCCTTTATCATCTACGAGATTGTTCACGGCCAAGTAGGGAGAAGTGTGATATTCCTTGTAAGTAGCTCCGGATTCACCTGGGTTAAAAAGTGGGTTGTGTGAAACCGGGTAGAGTGTAGAAGGGTACAGTGATATATCTGTGTGATGCCTGATGTGCGACCATATTCTCAGGGTAGGAGTTATGGTCGGGTGTTGCGAGAATTTAAGAAGTGCTTGCCCTGATTTATGCCAAGGGACAGTGTAAATGGGGACCTGGAAGAATGTGTGCTCTATTGCAACCCATTGCTTACTCATGGTAGCATCAGTCCAGTCGTAAATTCTAGCTAGGAATACCGCTTTGTGATATGTTTCCATGTTTGGTAAACCTAGGCCACCATCAGTCTTTGGTCTGGTCAGTAATGCGTAAGACAATCTTGGATGTTTGTGGGACCATGTGAATGTAGTGAATAGTTTACGTAGTGTGTCGAAGAATAATTTCGGGAGTGTAATTGGGAGGACCTGGAGTAGATATAAGATTCTAGGTAGGACATTCATCTTCAAGATATTTATCCTACAGAACCATCCGAAAAGGGGGATGTGCCAGGAGGAAAGGTCTTTGAAAATCACTTAAATTGGAGGTGGGAAGTTGCATTTGTATATCTGCCACAATAAGGAAGGAAGGGTACCCCCAAATATTTAATGGATACTATGGCCCATGTGAAGGAGTGAGATGTTATTAGCTGTTTTCACTGGGTGTGGGATGTTTAATGACAGAATTTCGCACTTACTCAGGTTCGCTTGGAAGATAGAGACCATTTCTTGGAGTATGTAGGGCAGAGAGTGTACGGGATCTGCAACTGTGTGTTTGGGAACCCTTTATATGTGTGTTGTCTCTTACTCCTTGAAGGAAGGGTTCTAGAACCAAGGCAGAGAGGAGGGGGGATAGGGGACACCCCATCTCATGCCGTTTTAGATTTGTACTGGAGCCGACAGTTGGCCATTAATACAGAGTTTTGCAGTCAGTTTAGAGTATATTGCGCTCATCCATCGGAGCCAGTTTGGGCCAAAACCCATCTGTTCCAATGTAGCAAGCATTAGGGACCAGTCCACCCTGTCAAAAGCCTGTGTCTTTAATGCATGGGCCAGTAGACGTCCGCATTTCCCTGCTTGCGTGTAATATAGACTTTTGGTTAATAATAGTTGCCTTTTGATTTGGGCTACCATTAGGATGGCCAATTCTGATCTCTTGTCAGTCAATAATTAATATGTTGCTAACTCTGAGTCAGCTTTGTGTTTGCTATCCAGTGTTCTAATGTCTGCTAGAAGTGAGGTGGCCTGTTTTTCCCTTTTGCGTTTGTGGGCCGATGCTAATTGTATGATGCCTTCTGACCATGCTTTTGTATGCCTCCCATATCATTGGATAGGGAGAGTCAGGCCTTTTGCTTAGTGAAAAGTAGTGATCAAGGGATTTTTTGATTGTTGACACTATTTCTTTATCATTTAGTAAGGTATCATTCAATTTCCATTGAGCCCTAGAGGGATGAAGGGGTGGGATTTGGATGGCAAGCGACAGGGGCGCATGATCTGACCATGTTATTGAGCCATAAGAAGAGTGAGTGATCAAATGGAGGAAAATATCTATTCTAGTGTATGAGCCTGTGGAGTGTGAATAGAAGGTGTAATCTCTGGTCGAGGGGTGAAGTGTTCGCCAGCCGTCGAATAGTTGGGCTGTATGTAGAAGTGTCTGCATCTGCTTGCGTTTGGAAGTCTGGTATGTATATGTTGTAGACGTGAAATCTAGGATGCTATCTAAGGATGTGTTAAAATCCCCTCCCAGGAGCAGAAGGTGCTCCGTGAATTGTTCTAATTTGTTAAGGATTTTGCGTAAGGCATAGCAATGTTTTCGATTGGGGAGGTAAAGGTTTGCAAAGGTGACCATTGTGTTACCCATCAACCCTTTCACAAACAAGTACCTTCCATTGTCGTTAACCATGTGATCCTTGTAGGTAAAAGTTAAGTTTGCTCCCATGAGGATTGCCACCCCCTGGCTCTGGATGCTGTGTAATTACTAAAATAACCCGGGGGTAATACTTGTCTCTGAAGTTGGGTGCCATGTATTTGCGGAAGTGGGTCTCTTGGAGGAAGACCACCTCTGCTTTGAGGCGGCGTAGTTCAGTAAGTGCCATATGTCTTTTCTCCAGAGAGTTTACAGTTTAGACTGCTCGTACTTCAGCCATGAGTGATAATATTAGGAATGGGGTTTTATCTGATGTCTCCGCCAGGACAGTGGGAAGGTGGGTACCAGTGGTTAGTAGGGAGTGGACAGAGAGATGCAAGTACAATTCTGTAGGCTCAGAAACAAATTGCAACTATAACAGTAACTATATGCAATAAAAAATCAAACAATCAAATACTTTTCTTAGTTGAGCTTTAAGGTTAGAATTTGTAAACAAAAAGTGCCGGTATCGATCCCTGAGATTTACCAGAGTCTACAGAAAACAGATTGGTACTTTTTGACACCGCAAATAGTTAGATAAAGGATCAAGTTAATGAAGGCATGGAGACCACTTATCTACTGTGTGACCAGTAGTGTTTTTGGGGTGAGTGGGTTTGGTAGAGTGTGTTCAGTTGGAGATTGTGACATGAAGGTAAATGTTTTGGACGAATATTGGGTGGTGATGGATGGGTGTGAGAGTACAGGTGTAAATGCTTAAATTGGTTAAAATGTGATTGAGGTATTAGAGTATGATTCTGATAGCTCCCAATCTACCATATTTACATATACTCCAGACCAACAGGGAGAAAGAGGGAAGGAGAGAAGGGAAAGGTTTAGGGTAGGAGATACATGTTTCCCCTTTTAAATAAATATTACATTTTTTATTTTTTTTATTAAAAATAATCTTGTAGTTCTCATTCGAGAACTGGTAGATAGTGTATAAATGAGGATTGAACCGGGAAGAGGGTGTGAGTGAGTGGGCTCTCATGTGTACCCTATGGTAAATGTGATCGTGGTCTGGTTTGATTGAGAGAACCGTTAGGAATTAGGGGGCTAGATCAGAGGTGTAAAGGGACATTCGAGGATTTAATGTGTATAGGGTTATAACACTTTAGACAGGGTACAAGCAGCTTTATTTACATTGCTCCTTCACTTTTGTATTCGTTTGCCAAAAGTCCCTAGGAAATGTCAGAGAGTATGCCTTTTGGGATCAAAGGCTTAGTGAATTCGCTGTTATCCACGAGATCTCCATTAGCTGGATCAGTCCTTATGTAGTGGGTAATCCATGTAAAGAATAGGTAGGAACACTGGAGACGATGGGGGATGAGAAGGTTAAAATCCTGGGAGGTCTGGAGAAAGTTGATGAGAGTATCCAGTTAGGTCTTGGGTGCTTTGTCACTGAATGGGTATCCTTGGAGTAAATTAACGATTTTGGAGTCGCTCACAACTGCCGGAATGTTGAGTTGTGTAGGAGGGATCCGTCCGTCGTTTCATCATGGGTGTCCTTCCCAATATTTGATATTGCGGGCCCTCAGTTGGTCTGTAACTGGCTTTAGGGACCTCCATTCATGTAAGGTCAGCCACGATAGGTCTGGTATATCTGGATCTCATGGCCGTGGAACAACAGTGGAGTAGTTGTGGAGCGCAGTGCACGTATAACCTCCTCTTTATCCATGTTTCTGGCTTTGAGTGAGCGGTGAACTCTATCAAACGGTACTGACGTGCCTACAGCCTTGCCCAAAATTAAATAGCTCTGATAACATAGTGGGTATGTCTTCCCCTGCGGGTAGGCCCCTGACCCTAATGTTGTTTCTGCTCCACATAATCTTTGAATAACTTCACAAGGGAGCCCAATATCACTGCGGGAGTCTTCCCCGTGGTGGAGTGGCCACTCTGGTAGCGTTCAGGGTTACCCATAGTTGTGTGGTACATCCATATTGTGAATTTACCGCCTGATTTGCTCAGAGCTGTTTTGCATGCGTCCATCCCGGTCGGCAGTTGGCCATGTCCCCTCTGCCATCACATTCTATGTTTCTATGTTTCTAGAGACCCCAACCTGTAAAGATTCCTGGATTTATTATTTAATGGTATTGCTGCTCTGAACATGGTTCAGTGTGGGCTTGTGACCCATATGAAGTTTGCATTAATCATGTAAGAATAAAAACTACATCTGTATGGTACCGAATGTAGTGTTGACATGCTTTCTTAAGTCATTTGGTAGTTAATATATTTAATTTTAAATAGCAGTTACAAACCTTAACCTCAATGAGCTCATTAAACACAGGCACACATTTAACCTTCAAATCTTCAGATTTGTATAACTGTAATAAATTAAGTTGTAACCATGTACAAAATATACAAAATGAGTAGACAAACATAAAGAAAAGGAAAAATGCTTTCTGAGAAACCAAAATGTTATGCTGTGCACAAGTCTACCACACAGCATCATTTAATTAACTAATGCATGGGAATATGAATTGAAATTGTTTATTTTTTCATAAAAAAAACCTCAACCTATCACTCCTTACCATGCCCCATTCTCATATATACATTTAGCAAATCATAGTCTGGTACTCTACCAAAACACAGCAAATTTAGTCCAAACTGAAAAGTCAAGTTGCTACCCAACGTAGTTAGTACACACACCAAGGTAAAAACAGAGAATTCACTGGTTTTCGTCAAAACAAAAAAAGTGTGTTAAGCAACTGTAAGAACGACATTTATACTCTACAAGGTCTTTATCAAGATCATGATTGATAAAAGCTCTGTATGGTCAAAATCAGTGAGTGCTCTCTTTTTACCCCCTTCCCGGCCGCAGACGTACCTGGTAAGTCCGACAAATAATGGTTGTTAATGACGTACCTGGTATGTCCACGGCAATCTGTGCACTTACCTGATCACTGGCAATCCCCCGTACAGATGATCCGCCCCCCGGCCATGTGATCGCGGGGTCCTGATGACCAGCTGTGAAAATTCCAAGTTGGAAAACTGGAATGCGCACCCTCCAAATAAGGTATTTTAGCCCCCAGAGAATTCGATACATTTGTGATATCACTGTACTCAGGAGATGTTGCTGAACACATATTGGTGTGTTCTTTGGCA